CTCTCTGTTGACTTTAGGTTAAAAATGGCCCTAAGGCATCTTTTTTGGGACTTGAATGCAATTTCTTTGTCTGTAGAATTACCCCAGAAAATTACACCGTAACGCAATACTGATGCAGCCAATCCATAATACGCTGACACTAGAGCGTCTGGATTAAGCACTGGTGCAAGTTTGTATAGTGCATACGCAGATGAGTTTAGTCTCTTGCTTAAATTCTCAATGTGATGTTTCCAATTCAATTTCTTGTCAATTATTATACCTAGAAATTTTGTGGATTCAACTTCATTGATTATTGTGTCATTGTAGGCAACATTTACATTTGATTTAGATTGGTCTCGTTGGCTGAAATGGATAATGTTTGTCTTATTTAAATTAATTTTTAAATTGTTTCTATCTAACCAAGTTATTATTGATGTCAAGGAGTTATTAATGTCAGATTCATATGTCAAAATATTTTTACATTATATGGTCATTGTACTGTCATCGGCAAATAGAGTTATAGGGTAGTCAATAATTTTAGGCAGGTCATTTATTTATAAAATAAATAACAATGGCCCTAATACACTGCCCTGTGGGCACCGTATAGAGGAGAGAGTTCGTCTGATACGAAATGTTATAACAAAATCCCCCAAGAAATACTGCATCTAAATGAAAGAAAATTTAAACTATGTATTAAAAAAACGTTATGTACACAAGCATACTACAAACTAAATGATTATATAGAGGATAAAAGTGCTTGGAGGCAGGTTGGTCCGGCTCCGCAGGATAGATAATACATGAAGCACAGTGATGTTCCTTGAATTCTATTTGTGTAATAATATAATCATGTTGCTTGAATATTTGTATAGTTGAAAACTTTGCACAATTTACTGTAAATGTGAGAGCCCTGTAATTAATTAAATCAAATTAGACTAGTAGAATGGTTTTATGTCAGCTAGGAGCTGTCACGCTCACTCAAAGATCTCGTTGGCGGTGGCACGTGCATTGGATCGCTCGATTCCCTACAATATGGTTGAGTTGGGCGGTGCTGGGGTACGCCAAATGTTCGAGAACGGGCACCGTCGATTGGAACTGGTCAGCTCCAGACTATCATTTTATTATCCTCAAGGTTATTTTCTTTTTCAGTCTCTTTGACTGGATTTAGGTGTTGCATTGTTCTCACACAATCGAACCAATAAAACTATGTACCTAACTAGAGAATTGTATTGTAAACATGATTGAAAAAGAGTAACCTATGGAGTTTCTTGCTCATTCTTCTCCATAGGAATCTACACCTTGGAATGAGCAACTAGCTTCACTTCTAAATTTTTGTTGTTTGACGTTCAAAAGCGCCATACTGGTCTAATTGAAATAAATGATTTTGACTTTGACTTTAGTTACGCTACTTAGCGATAGATGGCGTGGGTCTTAGTAAAACTTTGTAACGTTGTGTTTTTCAAGTATTTTTTGGTTTTCAATTTTAGTTCCTACCATTTTATTTTAAATTGTGTAGTTTATAGATTTTAGGTTGTTAATGGTACCTATTCGGTGCACTTTTCGATTAATTTATTTGCTGTTTTATAAGTCAACAAATTACAAATTAGCACCTATGCATTAGTTACGCTACTTAGCGATAGATGGCGTGGGTCTTTGAAAAAACTTGGTAACGTTGTGTTTTTCAAGCATTTTTCGTTTTTAAATTTTGGTTCCTACCACTTCACTTTATTGTGTATTTTATAGATTTTAGGTTGTAAATGGTACCTATTCGGTGCACTTCTCGACTCATTTTACTTTCGTTTGCCAGACTGTAACTAATACATAGGTACCAATTAGTAATTCGTTGACTTATAAAACAGCAAATTAATGCGTCGAAAAGTTCACCGAATAGGTACCATTAACAACCTAAAATCTCTAAAATACACAATTTAATGTAAAATGGTAGGAACCAAAATTTCTAAGCGAAAAATACTTGAAAAACACAACGTTACCAAATTTGTTAAAGACCCACGCCATCTATCGCTAAGTAGCGTAACTAATACATAGGTACCAATTAGTAATTCGTTGACTTATAAAACAGCAAATTAATGCGTCGAAAAGTTCACCGAATAGGTACCATTAACAACCTAAAATCTATAAAATACGCAATTTAATGTAAAATGATAGGAACCAAAATTTAAAAGCGAAAAATACTTGAAAAACACAACTTTACCAAGTTTTTTCAAAGACCCACGCCATCTATGGCTAAGTAGTGTAACTACTACATATGCACAAATTAGTAATTTGTTGACTTATAAAACAGCAAATTAATGAGTCGAAAAATGCACTGAATAAGTGTAGGTAGCGCTTCAGATTAAAGCGTGAGGTTTCCAATTAGTGGGTAATTCGTTGACTTGTTTTAAATGACATACAGCGCCATTTATTCCAATATTTTTGTTATCCCTCGGGATTATCCATTTTCCGGGATAAAAAGTACTCTATGTATATAATCCGGACCTCTCACTTTACATCATTTCGTACATTTTCAGATGAAATGAGACTTTCAACTTTACGACAACATTCCATAAAGTTTATTACAGTTTGACAGACAGATCATCCATTTATTATTTGCCCTCTTTAAGTTCATTAGGTACGTGTAATAGGGGGTGTGCTTAGGTACTGCCTTACTTATACCAGGCCCGTGTCCAGTCGTATGTACCTTATCATCCGCCTTAAATAGGTTGCTTATGGGACGATGTGCTCCATCGTAGACCGCATCATTGCTTACCACCAATGGTCAAACGTCGGCCAAACAAATATAAAAAATGACCAATAAGTATTTACTAGCTTTTATTAACCGACTTCAAAAAAATAATGAGGTTCTCAGCTTGCCCTGTTTGTATGTATGTATCTATGTTTTTGCGGGATTATCTCGCGATTGACTGAACCGATTTTGATGCGGTAATCAAAAAAATGATTGTTACACTTAAGGAAAGGCTTAAAAAGAGGGAAATAAAGTCGGGTTTTTAAACGTGGTGTATAAAAAAATTATTTATCTTAAAAACATTCTAATAATGAACAATCTAATCTAACTTGTATATACCTAGGTACATAATATATCTATCTAATACACAAGTACCTATGTATATTTATTTACTAGGACACACCGCGGGTCGTATGTTCTAGACTTCTAGTAGAGTAGAGTATTCCATACGTCGTCACGCGACTTTAAAGTCACACCTATGAGTCATGGTCTGGATCACGTTTCTCGACGAATTATCACGTGTCGCTCATTAGTTAGGTTGCGGTTTCAGTAACGTGGTGAGCGGATAGAGTTTGTCAGCGTTTATTGTTTAAAATAATATTTCTAATAAATGTTGTGTTCGGAAACCTCTCGTAAGTATTTATCGATGACGTCGACAGAGGCGGCACTGGCTACAGCATCAGAAGTCAAAGTCAAAGCATTTATTTCAATTGAACCATAATTTGGTACTTTTGAAACGTCAACAAATAGAAAATAAATAATAGTCTGTCAGTCAGTCAGTCCGTCAGTGAAGCTAGGTGAAACTAGGTGCTCATTCCAAAATGTAGATCGAATGGAGAAGAAAGAGTAAGTAACTCCATTCGTTACTTTTCTTAAAAAAAAGAGGGCGGGGGGACAGGAGCAACATGTACGAGGATCCGTTCTTTTTCACTGGACCAGCTGCGAGCACAGTACGCGTCGCGTGCCGTATATAGTTTGTTAAGGCACACCTACCTGCCGTCAAATAAACCAGTACCTATGCCTTTAAACATGGGGTCGCTGCAGCGGTAAGTCCCCTCTTTGAGGAGTGGCTTGAGAGACGCTACGGCGTTGTCACCTACCACCTGACGCAGGTCCTCACCGGACATGGAAGTTTCGGGAGGTACCTGTGTCTGATGGGGCGGGAGGAAACGCCCGGGTGTCATCACTGCGAGGACCGCCCCGAGGACACGGTGGAACACACTGTAGCGGAATGCCCTGCGTGGGCTGAGTACCGCCGTGCCCTCAGGGAAGTGATCGGCGATGGCGATCACTCGCGTCCGGGCCTAGTGCAGTCCATGATGCGGAGCGAGGGGGACTGGGATGCCGTCTCCTCCTTTTGCGAAGCAGTCATGCTAGCTAAGGAGGTTAAGGGTAAGATTTTTTCTTTCTTTCTTTCTCTTTCACTCTAACAATATGGGACAGTGACTGTTTTATGTTTTTGTTGACGTTCAAAAGTGCCTTTCTGGTCAAATTGAAATAAATGATTTTAACTTTGACTTTGACTTTGATGTCGCGACTTTTAAATTCCTGCCTTGCATAAATCATAATGTAGTCAATAGTCATCATTGTCATTCGTCCTACGTACCTAATAATTGTCCACTTATAAATATATTCGGGCCCCACATAAATGTTTCACAGATTCAGTTTTCACCTGATGATGTTATCATCAGCGACGCCCATGAAAACCTACAGCACTAGAGAAATTACGCATGGGTACATAAATGGGTTACAAATAGATAGAATTGATACAGAAAAGAAAAAAAACAAGCCAATTTACACTAGTAGTAATTTAAATTAAATCGCTCCGCTATCGCTCATTCCTTGAATGTACCTTGAGTTTGGCAGGGCATTGACCTTGTCGATACGTCCCGAATTTTTATTTTTGTAAAAGTTATGCCCCGGTTATCTAATGTAAACTATGTAGTATTATTATAATTAACTAACTGGTATCGTAAGGATAATAATTAGATCAGTATTATTGATCACGCTTATTGATTAGAATAGTTGTAATAAAAGAAAAACGTGCAACCAAAATACTTTTATATTTTTCTTTATTTGTGATATTAAAAGAAAAAAGACAATTCAGCATGCGGCAAAGTATTTTCTAGATTATCCAGAAAACCAATAAATGCTTATGATAGCAGGAAGATTGCAATTAATTTTAGAAATTATTATTGTAAGCGTGAAGATAAGATTTGATTATAGCGCCATCTCGTGACATATTTAAAAATCATATTTCATTGTGAATCACGCATTTCAACTACTAGTACATCTTAAAATCAATAAAATTGAGTTACAAAGCGAGAAAAACGTGTTCTTTACTTTATATATTAGTGCAATGTCTATAAAAGTAATGATTGTAGAATGTTCTTCGTTCTTCTTTGTACTCTGATGACGTATAACGATAAAAGATGGCATTAGCGTCTCAGCTTCAGTCGAAGCACGGCAGCGTTTGTGGAAAATGTCAAGTTTAATTCATTGTTTTTTTTCTCTGTCACTCTCGTAAATCATTCGTAAGTGCAAAAGTGATAGGTGCGCTGCATAATGACGGAATCCAAAGAAACGTCGGGAATTATAACCACTTTGTTTTAATTTAAATGTGTAAACATTGCATTTATATTCATTTTCACGTGTGCCTGTGATATATAAAATTGGACATAATAAATTGGATATTTGTGCAGTGACGATGGATCTTCTAGGGCTTCCCGTTGTTATGATCGAAAACATTTTCTCGTATTTATCCTACGATGAGATCGCGAAGAATAGATTGGTAAGTGATTTTTCAAGGAATTTATTAATAGGAATGAGCTTGTTTAGTTAGAAAATCTTCTGTAGTGTATTACAGTCATTAATTTTAGTTCTTATTCAACACGTAACTGCTCAAAAGTGGCAATGTTCTAGGCGTTTCACTTACTACTATATCGTACAAGTAGTTATGTATTACGTCTATTTATATCTGTTTGCTAATGAAAATTCTCTACACTCGTGTATGATCTCGTAACCGATATTATTAATGTATTAAAATTACTTAGTTCGATGTATAAATTAACATCTAACCCCTGTTATGTTTGTTTTATTTGCTAGTTCTTGCAAAATATTTACATTGTTGGGAGTCGAACAAAAATAATGTAATATTGCTGTATTTTACGACATATATTATAAAATTTAGTTTTCAGTTTATCTATAAGTAATTAGGGACTTGTTTCATAATGTTATACAATATAGAAACTCTTTTGATAAATTAAAATACTAATTTAAAGTATTGTAAGGGGCAAATAAGGGTATTTAAGTATTATTCTATATTTTTCTAAGAATTACTTCTTGATTATCATCCCCATAAACTTAGAATATGCATTAGGTTCTCATAAAAAGACATTTAGATATTTATTTTATTCAATTTGTAAATTCTTATGCCCAGAAATTTATTCAATATTATAAATAGACAGTTATTAATATCATTAAACAGTTATTAATGTTATTCCACAGTAGTGAGGCATAAGGAAGACACAGCTCCCTAGGGATGTGCCGTAACAGGTATTACACCGGACTCGGTCTATTATAGCGGACTTGGTGCCCCATATAAGTGATGATGGTGGCCACTGGGGTGGGTTTTAGTGAGGTAGAAATCCCACACTCTCTAGATTTTCTATCAAGGCCCTTTAGCCAAACGCCACTTTAGCGCTTGTCTACAGAGAGAAGTAGAAATCAAAATGTATGGGGATGACACTGACAAGTGTCAAAATTTACATCAATTCCACAGAAATGTTAATATATCTGTGATCAATTCCATATAATTTGGTTTTCTATTCTACATGTAGACAAGCGCTAAATGGCATTTGGGTACAGCTGCAGAAAAGCTTTTGAAGGATTCCCCACATTATCAAAAAAGGTATCATTTAACTCGTTGAAAATCATCCCCTAAATTAGTTCATACAAAAGTAATCTCTAAACATTGGAAATAAGATCTATAATGTAGTTAGTGCAGAGCGGTCACTGGTGAATGCTTGGGGATATATGGGTTAAGTACAAAGTTCTTTCTTTGTCCATAATGTAGTTGTTTACTTATTTTATGTCATGTAATCAATATGTATGTTAATTATGCAGTGTATTATTATATCTATGTATTACCTACAAGAAGGTGCATGTAGCATACATAAGATATTATTTGCATAGAGACAAGTATGAATCTAAAAAGTATTATTATATTTCATGTTGAGACTTGAACGTTTTGAAAACTTGCTAAAAATATAGAAAAAAATTATGATGCAGCTTTTTTTAAAAATGACACTGTTTTCACTATGGTATTTTTTATTTAATAACATAGTTAATGTCTTAATTTTATAGACACTTTTAAAAAATGTGCTAAACAGTGTTATTTTGATAGCACTATGCTAATCAGTATAATTATACTACTGATCTTAGAATAAGTGGAATTCCACTTATTCTAAGATCAATATGAATAAAAACAATCCATATTTTGTGGAATCAACCAAAATCTTTACTCTTCATTAGGTACAAAACCATATGAATAACATCTATTTTGTTCCTTAAAAATAATAGCATTAATACCCGTTGAAATTCATCCCCTAAATTTTTTTATACAAAAGTAGTCTCTAAACATTGGAAATAAGGTCTATAATGTAGTTAGTGGAGAGTGGTCACCGGTGACTGGTTGGGGATGTATGGGTTAAAAATATGTTCACTTATCAGTTTTGGCTTACCATCAATTCTAGTCACTGAAAAAAAAAACCTATTGTTTCAAATTATGCTATCATGTGGTTTGTGAAACGCTTAGCTAATTCCAATAAAAATAGAGCAAGTCAAAATATTTTAGTCAACAGAAATGTTGTGTGATTGATTTTCAACCTTATTGTATAGGGTATAAGGTTCAAAATGAATCGCATAAAATTTCTGTTATATTGTTGCTGGATCAAACGGCAACAATTATCGTGTCCCTGGGACCGCTGGACGTCAGTGCTCCGGTGTTTTCATGGTAGTATCTACTGCAGATCCTGGCTTACAGGAGTTGCAGCAGGAGGCTGGGAGGCTGTGGCGGGTTGTCCAATTAAAAAACAACTGCATTAGTTACAGGCCTTTTGGGGATTAGGGAAATTAACCTTGACATTTTCCTTCATCTAAATTATTTTGTCTATCATTTCAGGTGTCCAGAGCATTCAATGAGATCAGCATGCGGATGCTGAACCGCGGCTTCATGATGATTGAAAGACGTCACGCCATGGCCCTCAAGAATGTGAAGGCACAGCTTCCTAGGAGGGAGTCGGAGAGAAGGTACATTGTTATCTACATTTGTACCGAATTATGTCAAAATCTGTTCAGCAGTTTCGAAGTTAAAACCGAAAACGTATCGGGCAATATAATAATTGTCGTATTTTTGCATTGACTGCTTGGTGATCTCAATTATTTAGTATTTTAATCATTGTATAATACTTTAATTATTGTATCCAGTGTTGGTCAATTTAAGTGTGGGAGAGCCATGCTTCGCCACGAATGGGCTGGCTCAACCGTAGTGATCCACCCACCACGGCCTCACAGAAGACCGACGTGAAACAACGCTTGCGTTTTGTTTCTTCGTGTGAATGAGGTTGCCGGAGGCCTAATTACCGCTTCCCCCTTTACCAATCCCTGAATCCCCAAAATCCTCAAATTCCTAATCCTAAACGGCCGGTAACGCACTAACGCCTCTGGTGTTCAAGGTGTCCATGGGCGGCGCCGATTGCTTACCATTAGGTGATCCGGCTTCGGGATCCGGTTTACCGGCTTATACCATAAAAAAAAGTATATATATATTACATGGATAGGCTATACAATCGGCTCACCCCCTATTATATGGGACTCATAACATAAACAGTGAAAAGTGGGTGTTACTTCTGTGTGCACCTCTGCCTGCCCCTTCGGGGATAAAAAGCGTGATGTTATGTTATTATATTACATGGAATCCCTCCATTACATTAAATTTTTACATAACTGCTGAAAACTGGGTAGTACCTACATTAATTTAAACACCTCACTCAAACTCTTTGGAGCCTGAAAGACGTGATTTTGAGTTGTTTTTTTGATATATTTCAGATATCACCACTTATCCCGCCACTGTGATATCCTAACGTCTATAGAGACGCGTATCTCTATGCTCAACATGACATACTCCAAGTTCATAGACAACGGACTCTGCTGCTTCATTCCTGGAAAGGTAAATTTCTAAATTGTAACATATCCATTACCTTCATTATATTTATTATATCATAAATTATAATCAGATACTAGTTTTTCGGTTTCGATTCCCGGGTCGGGCAAGGTACTACTGGGTTTTTTTTAAAAAATTCTGTAGTAGCACGAAGTCTGGAATTGTGCCCGGTATATGGCAATAGACATAGCTGGGCATTAACTCGTTAATCCGTTAATCTCCGTCCTCTGTGGTTCGAAACTAGTAGAGCTTTTCTCAGTATGTTCACGTGAGTAACCCGCGATTTTAGTTAATATATAAAGACAGACAGACAAAAATTCCTTAAAAATGACTGCAAAAGTGTTTTTTCCATCTTAGTCCAAAAACCTTACCTTAACTCGTCGAGTACCGGTTTTGTAGACACAATTATAGAACAATAGGTTGCGGTCACCGGTGACCGCTTGGTATTTGACAGTTTAATAAAGGTATTGAAGCCAAAATTAAACTTGACACCTTTTTCACACACCAAATCTTTCTAAAACTCCTTTCTCAGGTCATAGACGAGATCAGACGTGTCCTCACAATAGTAGAAACATCAACCACTCCACCACGAGCTCACGAAGTGCTCCAGGAGTTGAGGGATATCTCCAGCATGGCCATCGAGCAATTTGACGACAAGATCGCCCCCGCCTTCCGCAAACGGCTGCAGCAGGGAGTCGTACAGCCTACCCCAAGACCCTCGCATGGTAAGACACCCATCCATTGCCTGGCCGTTGCAAGGGGAGCTTAACTTCAGAAGTGATTTAATCTCCTGTCATTTTTTAGATTTTCTTAAAAGGGATATTTAAGATCACCATAGTCACCGTATTAAAGGGATCTCTAAGATCACGATAGACAGGCATATTAAAAAAAATAACCTTGGTCAGGTTGTATACTTTTTGACGTTGTTTGATTACTCTCAGCTATAAGCATGCTGCTCGATTTATGAGCCCCTGTTGTTGCTTGAAACTAGTTGAACAGCCTCAATCAATTACGTAATGTTACAGTGTATTTTAATAAATTAATTTACTTTACAATGCTAGCCTCTGCCTGCGACTTCGCCCGCGTTCCTGTGGGATAAAAAGTAGCCTATGTGTTATTCCATACCAATTACCATAAGTCCTCGATTGCCTCGTTGGCCGAGTGATCAAAGTGGCAAGTGCGACTGCCGGGCAAAGAGCCTCGGGTTCAATTCCCATCTCGGCAAAGTTTACTGGGTTTTTAAAATTCTGAGTAGTAGCAGAGAATCTCGAAATGTGCCCGGTATATGGCAATAGGCTCACCCCCTATTACATGGGACTCATAACATAAATAGTGAAAAGTGGGTGTTACATTGTACAGTGGCATTAAGTGCCGTAATGTGCACCTCCTACCCCTTCGGGGATAAAAAGCGTGTTGTTATGTTATCTAACTCTGTTCCGAATTTCATGTCGATTCCTTCAGTAGTTTTTATGAAGGAATCATCAGGAATCACACACACACACATACACAAAAACACACACAGTTTCCCATTTATACTATTAGCAGGATAGCGGGATTGTATTAACGTATGGTTGGATTCTCCACAGCAGTGCTAGCTCCCCTAGCGATCCGTCAAGAAATGGTTCACCTCCGCCAGCGGTCCATACTGAACGCCAAGTTCTCGATATACCTCGCCTCACAATACAAGAAGTTCCACAAACAGGCAAGTTAATTGTTATGTACTCTTGTATTAGACAATACAAATTATTCAGTTGGGTCTTGGGTACTTTCCACAATCCCAAATTAATTATTTCAACAGTTCAATATTATAAAACAAAAAAAATGTCGTAGTGGCTCGTTCATCCCAATTCTTATGTTTGTAAAGGCACCCAGGACACAGCAGAACATGCGAGTGTAGGGCATCGTTTTTTTAACTTTAAATGAACTAAAGAACATCTCGCTCGTTTAAAATGGAGTTTGCATAGTGATCTATGTTAAAGTACCTACATAATGTTTTTACAGATGATGGAGTACAAGAAGATTGCGTGGCGACAGCAGAAGACTATCAGGGATCTCACCAAGAGGCAGCGGGAACAGGACAATGCTATTGGTAAGAGATTCATCTTCTTTAGACAGAAAAAAACGTCTTGGTTTATAGACTAAAGACGCACAGACAGACAGATCATCTGATGGTAAGCAACCGCCTATGGACACCATCTACGAGGCCATTAACTGTTCTTGGGATAGTAGACAGTGTATGAAAGTTAAAAATGTAAGTATGTAGTTAAGTGTGGGAGAGCCATGCTTCGGCACAAATGGGCCGGCTCGACCGGAGTGATACCACGGCCGAGCAGAAAACCGACGTGAAGCAACACTTGCGTTGTGTTTCGTCGTGTGAGTGAGGTTACCGGAGGCCCAATTACCCTCCTCTTCCCTAATCTCCCCAATTTCTGAATCCCCAACGATCCTCAAACTCCTAATCCCCAAAAGGCCGGTAACGCACTTGTAACGCCTCTGGTGTTCCAGGTGTCCATGGACGACGCCAATTGCTTACCATTAGCAGGTGATCCGTCTGCTCGTTTACCGGATTATGCCATAAAAAAGTCCGTCAGTTACATAATGAAAAAAGTATTAGACACGTATTTTTTATTTTGTTGTATAAGAAAACAATACTTAGATAAAACGGAGTGAATTAGGACTCCTAATTCACTCCGTTTTATCTAGGAGTGGGAGGTCGTTAGGTTACGCTACCCTATAAAATATAGTAAATCGTGACGTCACACGATATTTCAAATCAATATATCGTCGAAAGTTTTTTTTAAATTCATGCCTTTTATCCTCGAAGGGCTAGGCAGAGGTGCACATTACGGCACTTAATGCCACTGTACAATATAACACCCACTTTTCACTATTTTATGTTATGAGTCCCATGTAATAGGGGTGAGCCTATTGCCATATACCGGGCACATTTCTAGACTCCTTGCTACTACTGAGATTTTTTGAAAAATCCAATAATACTTTGCCCGACCCGGGAATTGAACCCAAGATCCCTTGGCAGTCGCACTTGCGACCACTCGGCCAACGAGGCAGTCGAAAGTATTTTTTAATTTTATAAGAAAAGAAAAAATACGTGTCCAATGTTTTAAAATAATCTACCAGACGGACATTAAAATAAAATTTAGGATACTACCCTATTGCTTACTATCAGGCGATCCGTTCGCTCGTTCATAGCTCAATCACATAAGAAATTATTATTTTGTTTAATTTTGTTGTATTCTATTACAGCTGATTTGAAGAAACGCATCGAGGAATGCGACATAAAGTACAGTGAACTCACACACACCAACCAGGCCGTCGGAGGGAAGGCTATAGCTGGTAAATATATATACACACACACACACACACACACGTACAGCTTGGCAAACAAGAGTTTGACGCAGGGACAGCCGGAACTAATATAGGGTTGCCAACTTTAGAAGAAATAGAATATAATCGATTTTATAGGAGGCAAAAAACTTTAAACTTTTCTTACTTTTAACTTCTCGCGTGTCTCTCGTACACACGGGTGTACGGGAGAGTTAGTGCCCATCGCGCAATTGTACACACGGGTGTACGAGAAACGCGCACCGATTGGATATTTTTTCTGTGACGTATATTTTCAAGTTTGCAACCCGTTCTTTATTTGATTGAACAGAATATTTAATTCGTTTTTCTATTAAAATATTTACCCGTGTGTACGAGAAGCGCGCGAGAGGTTAAAAAGGTATTAATTTTTCATGGTTTCAAAGGAACTAAGTGTATGACGCCAAACATTCCAACTCTAAATTTGTGTATACCAAGTGCTAATTCTTGATCAAATTCAATGAAACTCTCTCTTCTTTCGCCACTTGACATTCATGACCGAAAATGCGTTTAAAGATGCTGAAGTGTTTGGGGACTCGGTGATACCAACATATTAACAGTTAATAATAGACTTTCTTATTCTGATTATGGGTTTTTGCGTATTACAAACTGGCACTAGTTAAGTAAACATTGTGTGAAAAATAGTATTTAAGCGTACCCTATTAGTGTGATAGATTATAGTGTAGGTACGCCTACATGATATAGAGGTCAATACTCTATTTTAGAGTACGGTTGGCAACCCTAACTAATATTGACTTGGACTAAATCATCCACTTCGGACCACATCCTATGAACAAACAATCATCTGAACATAGTACCTACTCATTTTAAACTTAACAGAAATAACAAATATCAAAAACCGATTGAGTCATAGTGTACCAGGTTGCCACAGGTACGACACTAGCGACCTCTATTATTCCAAACTCTTTTTGTTACGCTGTATATACATATTTTTAATACAGGGGGCCAGGACGGACTAATTAGATTTTTAATTTTCATACCCCGTCACTACTTTATTTTTAAAACATCAACAAACATGAATGAGAATATTTGGCGTAGTGGCTGGGCTATTGGCTACTGCATGACGTATAGAAGATTCAAATCCTGCACGGAATTTGTAAAATAAATACAGATAATTGGGTACGTTCCTTTATAAAAAAACAATATTTCGACTGTTCAATACAATAAAATATTGCGAAATAATCACACTCGCAACTTAATTTTAGTATTTTTCCAGCAATTTTTTAAGAAATAACTACGCTGTTTGACACTTAAAAAACGTGACGTCACAATACACAATCTCGTACCGTAAATCCATAGAAAACTGTCATTTTTGACAGTTCGAAAAAAGTATTGACTTTGACTAGTTGTCAAATACCCAATTGTAAATTCATGCACGAAGTTATTTAAAAAAGTGTTTAACCCGGTACTCGAACGACTGTTCCAGCGAGTGCAAGCAGTGAGGCGTCGTCAGCCGCCCAGCCCCTGCGTCACTTCTCCAGTCAGATCAAGTTGGATCTCTCCGTACTACCCATTGGTACTTCCAAGAGAAATAATAAATGTAAGATAATCTTTCATCATCATTGTTATCAACAGCCATTACAAGGGGCTTATAGGCGGAATACTGAAACGTTACTCAATTTTAAGTCGTACTTAAATATCGTGCCATCTCTGTCATTTTACAAAGAATTTGTAGAGACAGAACTATAGTTAAAATTGAGAAGCGTTTGAGTATTCCGACATTACTCTTGAATTCAATTCCGATCGATCGATATTGGTATTGTGAAATTTCGTACTCTTTGAGTTACAACACTAGCGCCCATTGCATTCGTATTGCATGGATATTTAATAAACTAAATGGTATTGAGTTTGGCTTTATATTCCGTACTCTGAATGCTGTTTCAACAGCTACGATAGGGGTTGTATAGTGTTGATATTGAATAATTATTGAGATTTTATTGGATTGAAATTGCATTGACATTAAGATTGGTTTCAAGAGTAAGCACCCTGGACTATGAGACTATGAATCCGCCGTCTGTCTGTCCCTATGTATGCTTAGGTTTTTAAAACTACGCAACGGATTTTGAAGGGTTTTTTTTAGTAGATAGAGTGATTCTTAAGTTTTATATGTACAGCACATGCATATTGCACCCATGCGAAGCCGGGGCGGGTCGCTAGTGTACTATAGTCGCTAGTTTGCTTTTTGCAATGGTTCACTAGTTATTTTTTGTTTCAAACATTTTATTTGTTTGTAAAACTATTGTATTACCACGACAGAACTATTTTACTTCGGGACTAAAACGAAATATATTTCACGGTGTATATAATGAGTTTGCTATAATCTCCACCATTAGGGTTGGAGATTCGCAGACATAGTTTAAAAGGTTTAGGTTAATCATGTGTAGTCCCTTATTCGGGTCTTATGGTATCATGAGAAGAGTAGTGGATATATGTATATGTATATTAACCCATGGTTTTGTCTAGTTTTTGAATTTTCTTCAGTGATATCAAGGGTTTCATTCTCCGGTTATGCGTTTTTGAAAGAAATAAGAAATGAATTAGTTATGTTATTAGTTTCACTGTAATAGAGATTTGCTGTATTAAATACTAGCGACCCGCCCCGGCTCCGCACGGGTGCAATATGTATGTACTATACATATAAACCTTCCTTAAGAATCACTCTATCTATTAAAAAAAATACCGCATCACTATCCGTTGCGTAGTTTTAAAGATTTAAGCATACATGGACAGACAGACGGCGGATAGCGACTTTGTTTTATACTATGTAGTGATAAAACAATCAATAAATGAAGTCTATAATTAGTCGAAAAACAAAATAACCCTTTTCCCAATCAATTATATTTTACACACAACGCTTTTTTTAAAATAACGTTGCCCTATATTCAAAGTCAAAGTCAAAGTCAAAGTCAAAATCATTTATTTCAATTAGACCAGGATGGCACTTTTGAACGTCAAACAACAAAAATTTATAAGTGAAGCTAGTTGCTCATTCCAATAACTTTGACTTTGACTTTATTAGGATAGATACTTACCTATAGAACCCGCTACTCGTTGGGCAGCAGTCGGTTACCCAACCACCGAACCGTGCAGTCATCGCGTGCTCTTATTAATAATAAGACCCAAAATAGCCAAAAATTCCAAAAATTAATAAAATCCTTTCTTTTCCAGTACTACCAAACATGAAGCCGCGGAAACCGCTGATCAAGCTACCAAGCCTTTCAGAAGACGATTCAGAACCGCCCCCGAAACTGCCAAAAATGGACGAAAGTCGATTCAACCCCACACCGTCGACTTCCATGGACAAACAAAGTCCGAAAACAAAGTCTCAAACCACTATCGCCAAAATTAGGGGCATTGCCAACGAAATAAGATATCTCACAAATCTCCCAAAGGCTTATGAAGCCAAACTAAAACGCCCCCTAACGCTAACCAGTGAACTAAACGTACCTGAGACCAAAAAGCAGAAACTAGATTAAGGTACTCGATTTTAAACTTTATCTCGTTTGTATAGAGACGAAAGTTGATTCGTAAGGTATGCTATGCGATTTTGAGCTACATTGCTATGAGATCTGCGGTCGAAAGTTGCTTGTATGTGTATTGACTCAGTTGCCAGGTTTTGCTACTAGATGGCGGTGGTGTGCAGTTAAGTCTTGTAGGTCTAAATGTTTGTGGTCGAAAAGTTTTGTGACTAAGTTAAATAATAGACCGATGCCTTATAAGAAATCCTTTACTTCCAGTAGTTAAAATGCCTTCTAAATAGTCATCTTTGCTGACACCATAAATATTTTTCAAAGAAATTTGAAATTATCTTTAGTATTGAAGTTTGAAATTATTGATGTATGGTATTACATTCAAACCTTCAAGAAAAGAGCGTATTCCTTTTTAAATGGCCGGCAACACACCTGTGACTCCTCTGGCGTTGCGGGTGTCCATGGGCGGCGCTGATCGCTTCCCATCAGGTGATCCGTCTGCTCGTTTGCCTCCTATTCCATAAAAAAAAAATACAAACAAAAAACATTTAGCGCTTATTGCGAAACACCACATAATTCCAAATTTCGGACAATGTCTGACAATTTTGAAATTCTAAAAGCTTTTTTGAAAATCGATCCTTTGTCATAGCCGGGAATCGAAACAATGCCTTATTCAGAGACACTTCTATCATTGGTAAAGGGGCCGTTCAAGTATTACGTAAGCACCATGGGGGGGGGGTCTCTGTTTTGCTTATTTCGGATGATATGGGGGTAGGGGGAGTCTAGATGATGATTACGTCATCGGTAGTTATTTACTTTTTTACACGAATGGCATACCTCATATTGAAATTATAAATTACAAGCAAAGACCGACAAAGAACTAGACATTATGGAGAATATTAAAATTACAACATAAAAAAGATATAATTTAAAATTTTTACGTAAGCAGACGGGGAGGGGGTAAGATCTTTGCTTACTTTTGCTGACAAGAGGGGTGAGGGGGGTAAATAATTGTAAAAAACCTGCTTACGTAATATTTGAACGGCCCCAAAGATATTACAACTGGTATGTGAAATTATTCTTTGGAAATAACAAATACATTTGCTAAACCTAATTTTATGATTTATAATCTACATAAAAATACTGATTAATCCCCAAGCGGTCATCGATGACCGCTTTCCACTAACTCAATTATACACCTTATTTCTGATGGTTAGAGACTACTTTTGTATGAACAAATTTTGGGGATATATCTAACTTAAACTAGCATTTTGTTCTTAATTAACAAGTAAACCGTGGAATTATTGCAACAAAAATATTATTATTACCAGTTACGAGTACGCCCGTTCGTTTTCGAACTAATCCGGCTAATTTCAAGCTCAATCGGAGCTTATAAATATATATGAAGATTATTGCAATTTCAATGATTCTACGGTATGATAAAAACTGACATTATTAGTGCATAATTTTGTTGAAATTAACGCTAAAAATGAAAGTACAAGTTAATAATAAACAAATTGTTATTTAATATATTCTTATTATGTGTTAATATTTAATTTTTGTACGTTAGATATATCGTATATTCATAGGTAAGGTATATCCGTACCGGAAAATGTGTGTGTCTATTTGTTCGTCTTTCACGACAAAAGTGAGCGGTAATTTGACCTTATTTTTTAAATGCAGTTAGTTGAAGGGGTGGGAAGCGACATAGGCTACCTATAGTATCTTTCTAAACCCCAACTTCTCTAAAATGGGGGGTGGAAGTTTGTATGGAGCCTTCCAGAATAGGGTAGTTGCCAAGGAATGAAAATTAAAAATCTAATTAGTCCATCAGTTAGATAATGAAAAATTATTAGACACGTATTTTTTTATTTTCTCGTATAAAGTTACAATACTTTGATAAAATGGAGTTAAGTTTAGAAGTGGGAGGTCGTTACATCACTAAGTGCTACAAAATGTAGCCGTCGTTGTGACGTCACACGATATTTCAGATTAATATATCTTCGAAAGTATTTAATTTTGTGAGAAAAGAAAAAATACGTGTCTAATATTTTAAAATAATCTACCAGACGGACATTAAAATAAAATTTAGGCAACTACCTATTCTAAAATGCTATAATTCTTATCCGGACTATTAGTGATTAACAAAAAAAAATCGTGCTAGCCCTTAAAACAGCGCATGCGTAGCCGCGGGTAGCTAGTATCTACATAATATATTAGCGGAGTGAAAGAGAAGGAATAATTATGATAAATAAACAAAATAAAAAGGTATACGATTTCGTATGAATATTTTTAAAGACCATGTTATCTCATTCTTACAAACGATTATTGATTTGAATTATCACTTTTCACTTATATCCAGTCTCTATATTTCTCCCAGTGTTTTCCCAGTAAAAGCTACCGATTTTGCTCAACAGATGGCGGTAAAGTAGCTTAAGGACTTGTTTGTCCAATAAGAAGTAGATAGCAATAAGCAAAGCTTTAGACGTTTAAGTCGAAATCAAAATAATTTATTTCAATTAGACCAAGAAGTATCTTTTGAATGTACATCAAAATATAAACTGTCAGTCTGTCAGTCAGTCGTCTAGTGAAGCTATTTGCTCGTTCTAGACTGTAGATTCCTATAGAGAAGAACGAGCAAGAAACTCCATAGGTTACTCTTTCTCAATCAGGTTCACAATACAATTCCTAAATTGTTAAATTTAATTTTTAACACCACTAGTATTGAGACAAATAGACCTTACGTGTCGTTAGCGCCACCTATTGACCAAAAATGTAACCTAAAAGTAGTTTTGAGGTCAGCACTAAGTTATAAATAGGTTTAACTGATAAAGAAACTGCCAACATGCCTTTCTATATGGGAATAATAAAAAAATATAAAAAGCAATAATTATCTAAGTAGTTGATGTATAAACAAAGTGATTGTTTTATTTAAAAGTTTATTATATAGAAAAGGGAGTAGTTTCGTATATGTTTCATCTATGGTATTAAAATATAGTATAACAAATATTTTATTTAATAATGTCATAATATACGCCGTGAAATCCATGTCGTTTCCGTCCCGAAGTGAAATGGTTTTGCCTTAGTAATAAAATGTGTAAAACAAAAAATAACTGGGGAACCATTGCAAAAAGCAAACTTCGAAAACGCATACGAACTCATAGTCTAGTACATTATCAAAACATCACGTCATGTAATTCTCGTAGAGGTATTTCTCGTCGGGTTGCACGTGCGATGCGAATAGTGCCTACAAATTTACGTCTATACTATCCCATGTACGTATTTTTTTTATTAATAAGAAATTACATCTTTGCCTGACTGCCTCGTTGGCCGAGTGGTCGCGACTGCCGGTCAAGGGGTCTCTGATTAGATTCCCGGGTCGGGCAAAGTACTACTGGGTTTTTATAAATTCTCAGTAGTAGCACGAAGTCTGGAATTGTGCCCGGTATATGGCAATAGGCTCATCCCCTATTACATGGGACTCATAAGTCATAACATAAACAGTGAAAAGTGAGTGTTACATTGTACAGTGGTATAATGTACACCTCTGCCTATCCCTTCGGGGATAAAAGGCGTAATGTTATGTTATGTGTTTCATGTGTGTATTTTTTTATTAATAAGAAATGACATGTTTATTTTTTGTTTTTACTTTATACATCGAAAGTGCTTCTTATAGCAAGTTGTTTTGCCGCGGGACGCAAACGAAATAGATTTCATGGTGTATAATCGCTTATAATATGTGTGGGCTTTCAATAGTAGGGTATTTATATATTAAAAATTACGTCTTGTTTCATAATTCAAAAATAATGTTTATGAGATTAAAATCTTACTATCTAAGTATCTATTGTCTAAAAAGAGAAATGCGTTGATCTCAAGAACTTTATTTATGTAAGAAATTACTATCGTCATGGGTTTTGTTTCATCAGGAGCATGAACCGAAATATATCGACGCTAGAAAAAGGGTGCACCCTAAACGGCTTCAATCAATATAATATCGAAACAAGGCTCCTAGGTTCGGCGATTTGGTTGGCCTGCTATAATGAACCAAGCAATCAGGGCGCCGAACGCGGTCTCGTTTTGATCTCGTACTAAGGGCTCGTACACAAAACTGCGATGCAATGGGAATTCACAGCGCAAACATTACGACGCGAATTTTTGCAATGCAATTTCGTGCGACAAGGCATCTCAGAGGGTGACCATTCCTTCGACGACTGTTAACTGTACTAAACATATAATAAATTGAAAATTAAGTCGTGACATGTATCGTAAAAAGAAGTATGCACTTCTGTTATTGGTTAGGAGATACAGGGAAAAGAAACAAAAAAATATTTTGGAAAGATAAGATTTTGATGCGAAATGCGAATTGCGAATGAATTCGCAAGTTCTTGCGATGCGTAGAGGGAGCTCGCACATTTTTGCAATGCGACGTTGTATCGCAGTTTTGTGTCCCAGCCCTTAGACTTCTTAGCTCGACCGCATTCAGCGCTTTCATCCAGTGAACCGACCAATCCGAGCGTCGAACGCGTTCGATACAATTACGTTACGAATGCGATAATTATTCGTGCTTGGCACTCTGATACAAAACCGGTCCGATCTTGGTTTTATTCAGAATCTTCATACAATACAACTAATGTCAAAAATTCATACCTTTATATTGAAATCGATTATTCATTTCAGCTGTAAAGGATAGCAAATTTTTAAATAAGAAACGACTCATTTCATACTTTGGTGTTTAATAACGATTTTTTTGTTAAAGTAAAAAAACCATCTTATATTTCTATAATATGTATCTATCTTCGTGCTTAAAATAGCACTGTGTTAAATCGAATATTAAATATAACATAAACACCGCTAAATAGTCCGCTAATATTCTCTTTTAATATTAGTTTTATTCATAAATTAATATTATATACCTATAATAGTTATACCATATTTTGTCTACATCCGGTCATTTAGTACGCAAGTAAGAAAATAGAGATTGATTCAGTATAGATATAGAAACCATTGGTTGTCTAGGGCAGACTGAATTACAAAAGACATGGCTTCGTTACAAAGCATATAATAGGGTAGTTTCCTAAATTTTATTTTAATGTCCGTGTGGTAGATTAATTTAAAACTTATACATTATTTTTTTCTTTTCTCACAGAATTAAATACTGTCTACGATATATTAATTTGAAATATCGTGTGACGTCACAGCGTGCCACATTTTGTAGCACGTTATGACGTAACGACCGTCCACTCCTAACTTAGCGCCATTTTATCTAAGTATTGAAACTTAATACGAGAAAATAAAAAAATACGTGTCTAATATTTTTAAATTATCTAACTGACGGACTAATTAGATTTTTAATTTTGTTACCCTGGAAACTACCCAATTTAGTATAATAATAGCTACTAAATTAACTGAAAATCGCGGATTAGTCACGTGAATATACTG